TCACATGTGAGTCTGAATCCAGGTGATGTCAATGAAATTCTGGGTAATGGTCTCAAAGTAAATAGCCCACAATCTCATTCATCACCATGTATACCCTACTATGTGAAACACTTAACCCCTCATCACATAGCAAACCAGGAGCTGGCAGAGCCAGGAAAACTACTGACAAAGAATCAGGCAGCAATGCACAAGACAATATTCACCAGAGGGGAAAGGCAGAAATTGCCCCAAGAGATCCTTTCTCTGAATCATCCAGCCCCCATAAAAACCTCTTGATACTTAGAAGCCCTTGATAAAAACAATTTTCATGGAGCAAAGGAGATTTTATCATTAAATAATCAACGCAAGTGGCTCTACATTCCCAGAACTACCCATATCTTCTCTACCTGGGAACTCTTCAGAAGAAAGGGAGAAGGGTAGCCTATGCCCTACATGTACCCCATCAGGTCAAATCCAGGATTTCATGTCTCAGATCTCTCTGGACTGCATTGGACTACATCCAGAAAGAAAACCAGCCACCAGCTTATCAAGGTGAGTTGACAGTAGTCATAGATCATAATGCCCTCAATAGATCATAATGTCCTCAAAAGTCTACCACCTGCATCCACCCTGGGGATAGTGTTTCTGGCAATGCGGCCCAAGCCAATAAAAGCTGGATTGACAAATGTTACTCTAAGTTTCAAATTTTATGCTGGTAGAGAATGTAAGACCTGACAGGTCACGAGAGGCCATCGAGTCTACTCTTTTGTTTTATCCCATAAGGGGGTCACAGTTACTGAGGTCACAGGCAGCTCTACTCTGCTTGGACTCCCAGTCTAGGACACTTCCTCCCTAAGTCACACTGATATCTCTGCCCTTTGAAATCTGGAAAACCTACTACAACTACCACTTTTTAAAATTCTGTTTTCCATTTGCTATATCTATATTAAATCAACAGGGGCCTCTCTGGTGGCACAAGCGGTTAAGTCTCAGCACTTTGAAGCTATCAGCAGCCACTGCAGGATGAGTTCGATCCCTGGCCAGGGAGCTGACCCACATGGCATGCAGACCTCTCCTAACCCACCTGCTGCTCCCCTCAGCAGTGTATTTGTCCATCTGCCTGTTCTGTTTCCCTTCTGTCTCTGGTGAATCCTCTCATGCCCCCCCATACCTCTGTATGCATAAATAAATAAATCCTTATAAATAAAACCCCAGATCTTGTATACGTAAATAAATCCTTAAATAAATAAATATAATCAACATTTTTCTGGCATCCACTCTGCCAGGCACAACTCCAAAGGTTCAGTAAATTAACTCACTGAATCCTTCCAACAACCCAAAAGGGTAGGTTACTATGGTCATCTCCATTTTATAAATGGAAAACCCAGAGATAGAGGTCCCCCAGACAGGATAGAGTCCAGCTAGCCAATGTAACAGTCAGGTCCAAAGTCCCCACTCTTAGCCACTGTTACAGTGTATGAAAGATAATTTCTTTAACTTATAAAATGATAGAGCAAGCCTGAATAACAAACAGTATGATCATTAGTGTTCTGCAATGAATTTAAGGGTAAACCATAAATTTCGCTAGTTATATGCAATATATCATTAAGGGAATGTCTGTGTATATTAACTAAATACATAAAGTACATTAACAGTTTAAGCAGTTTGTGAAAGGTAAAATCATATGCATCTCAGTCAACAAGTCTGCCACTTGAACCAGGCAGAATTATTTGAGGGCTGGTTTTAGAGGATCGCTTTCTGAGCATGTTACTTGAAAAGCAAAGATATCTTGCTAGTCTCTACCTTTGCTGATGCTCATGCATGGATTTAAGATGATTTCTGCTTTTAAAGGAACACTGCTTTTACATTAACCTTTTACAGGAAAAAAAATCAACACAATCATCAATAATTGAGTGGAAGAAAATCAAACTAAAATGGCAATACACCTCTGAAGATTAATTTAAAAAATACATCTGATAAATAGTAGTCAAAACCACTGGAACAAATATCCAATTTTCTATTGTGTTACTTTTTCACTTTCCCTCATATTAAAAATGATGTCAAATCTCATTATCTTGGTTATCCAGGAGAAATAGTCCAGAAGCAATAATGGTAGAAATAAACAAATTACAGTTGTGCCTAAGATCGAATTTCAAGGGAAAAATTGCTGTCAATTTAGAAAATGTACTATCATGTAAACTTAACAGGACTTATTTTGCAGCCAAATGTCATAGTACGGAGTGTAAAAAGCCCACTATGAAACTATAAGAGATCCTAAAATCTCTAAAACCAGAAAAGCATTGCCTTAAATATGAAACCAGAGAATTAAAGCAAAGAACAATGTCAGGTACACAGTAGGAACTCATTAAATATTTGTTGAATATACATGAAGAAAATAGTCACAGAGGAGCATAATAAAAGAGTGTCAATGGAAAAATAGCAGATACTGCTTTTGAGTTGCTGAGATTTTATTAATACCTGGGTAAGAAAGAAATAAGGATTATAGAGATTGGGGGGTGGCCAGGGAATGATAGTACAATCCAATCAGAGCAAAATGCTGTGCCACAGGATATGACCTCTACTTCTGAAGAAAAATATCTCTAAGCCCAGCTTTGCCTAAGTAAAGGTCTGAAGTCAAACCCTACATAGTGACAAAATATTTACAGTACAATTCTAACATGGCAAAGTTCCTGAGTTTGTTGCATTTTAAATATAATACTTTAATTTAGAATTCTCAATAGGAATTGCTCAAGCTTGACCCATCACTTAAATCAACTTACTTTAGTAACAGGAAAAAATATATCCTTGTATCTCCTCTGCTCCACTAAAAGAGCATAAATACAAATGCAATTAGACAAAATCTACATAAACCAGACCTGTCATAACTGATCCATAAATTAAAGCATAATAAAATTACAGCTTGGGAGTCTGAGAGTAATTAAGGCTGTGTACAGCACCATCCTCACCAGAGTCCAATCAAAGAACCACACAATATTTATATCACAAATCTTTTCCTGGGGAATCAGCTCTTGCTCTCCAAACTCTGGCAGGACTTGAAATTAGCACTTACATACCAATATAGTGGTTACCAGTTTTGTACAGAATGCCTAATACAAAAGTAACATTATATTCTGTCATTTGTTTTAATACCTGTTTAGAACTCACATCCTCTTCTCTCATGGCATATACTAAAGGTCACGGTATCACAGCTCACCTGAAATTCCTGCTCAATTTAAGCCTTAACCACAACACCAGTTTCTTATAAAAGCACAATGAGAAAATATTCCAAAATCTTCTATAGTGTTCACAAGAAAGAAAAAAAGAAATCCAAGTGGGGCACGTGATGATATTTCATAGAGCCTTAAATGCCAACTATTATTTTTCCTTTCACCTTTAAGTGTTTCTGAACTGCTTAAAGGACAGGGCAGGTGCTTCAAAGGAAAATCTAATGACACACCTGTTACATAACCTGTTCTTAGTTGGTCAGGTTATGTGGTTTTGATACGGAAGAAAAAGCAGTCAAAAGCAGTAAAAACACTGATTCTCTGTTCTCCATTCTCCCATTAGCCAGAACATTCTTCTGAGGCATACACCCAATAAGCAGCTCTGTACCTCAGTTTCCCTAACCACTAAACACAAGGTGTGAGCCTCTTCAAATTGTTTGATCAAATTACAAATATAACACTTTAGTACATTACGTTGATTATAGAGCATTACATAAATACAACATGTGTTGTATTTTAAAATTCCAAAGATTATTGTAGTGTTTTACTCCAAATACTTCAAAGAGGTTGCCTGGGCAAGCTTAGGCAATCAAGATTAGGCAAATACCAATATACTTTAAAAACGTATACAAAGATACATAGAAACCTTCCCTGGTAAAGTTGTCACTGTGCATCGATTGTCATATGCAAAGAGGAACCCACAGAGCTTAAGAAGGACGGGTCTTTTTGTTTTTGCTTTCCCTGACAGCATCAAGGCCTAGGAACACAAGAGGACCAAGTTTCAGAAAATCGAGGGCCCCAAATGATCAGTTCTTCTAATTGTCTTTTTCGTATTTTCTTACTCAAATGGTGCCAGTGTCATGGTAAACCTCCATAACTCCAGGTCTGTGGAGATTTGTCAAGACCCAGAAAAGAGTCAAGGAAACACAGATGGTGCGGCCTTTCCTCCACCCGCCCAACTGTAACCAATAGAACTGTAACCAATAGAACGATGATGGACCGAGGCAGTAGGTTCTAAAGGAGGCAGATGGATTCTCTCTTGGAAATCTAGCTGGTGCCTGGGAAACTAGAGCTGAAGCTCCATGGAGGCCTGGGCACCCAAGTTAACGCAGTCCTAGACAGCAAGGTAGCCTCCTTGGCCTGTCATGACCCCTTTGGAAACTAAGCAGCGGAAGGTTAGGCTACCACCATCCACACCCAACCAAGATAACCATAGATGCCTTTTGAAACACAGCGAACATTTCCATAGGTTTCCATACGAAAGTAGTGTGAGTGCTGCTGTCCAGAGCTTGCACTTGGTCGGCCTTATGGGACCCAGTTCCGCCAAGCACCCTGTCCCTAAAGTCTTTGCACCCCCAAAAAGCGAAGACCCCAGCTTTGGAGACTCACCCTTCTGCACCGCAAGAGTGCCATCCATTTCCCTGGCGCCGGAGGACCCTGGCCCGCTTCCACCCACCCATCCCCGACCCCAGATCGCCGGAGGGTCGGCTACCGCGGTCTCCCCGCGCTCGGAGCCTGGCCGGGTCTCCAGAGAGACCCGCGCTCTGCAGCTGCCGCGGCCGCGCGGAGCTGAGCAGCCCAGAGCACTTGTTGCCGTCCCCGAGGGAGCGGGAGGCGGCGGCCATCCCTCGCGCCGAGGAGCCCGCAGCAGCGGCCCCAACCCCCCTCCACTGACCCCCGCCACGCCGGGACCGTGGAGAAAGTGGCTCCAGAATCGAGGACTCAGGTGAGGAGGACAAACTTTTCCACCCAGGGCTGCAGGGAGAGGAGGAGCACGGAGCCCCCCAGAGCTATTACCTGGAGCTGTGGCCCCCGCCGCCTCCGGAGCCCCAGCGAGGCGCTGCCTCCCGCGCCCTGCCCCAGGG